TGGAAAGGTGGATTCTTACAATTAATGACTACCCATTCAAGGTTGTATATAGGAAAGGAAAAATTCACTCAAATGTTAACCCCTTATTACGACTACCAACCCCACAAATCACCAAATAATTATCAATAACAAACAACAACATTGACTATGGAATTGGATGACTATTACAACTTGAATAATTATTTAACTATTACAACTTGAATAATTATTTAACTATTGGCAATTTACCAACTGACTGGACTGGACAACGGCAAAAACAATTCAGGAAATTATCGGCAAATTATATTATTTACAACAACTTATTATGCAGGAAAAACAAATCAAACAGTAATGAACCACTTAGGGTAATCAAAATTGATGAACTGGAAACTATTTTATATAATCTACATACAAATTTATTATCAGGACACTTTGGAATTGAGGCAACATATAGGAGGTCAAAATCACGATATTACTGGCCAAAAATATATCAAACAATTGCCAATTATGTAAAATCATGTGACACCTGTCAATGTCAAGGATCACCTATAAAAAGTGAATCTTTATATCCACTAAAGGTTGGAAATTCATTTGATCGAATGGGAATTGATATAGTTGGACCTTTAAAAATCACTGACCAAGGAAATCAATATATAGTGGTTGCAACTGAATACTTGACAAAATGGCCTGAAGCATGAGCTATTCCTGATATGAAAGCAACAATTGTAGCAAAATTTATATACGAGGATATTATTTATAGGCATAGATGTCCTAAGGAATTATTATCTGATCAAGAAATATCATTTTGCAATAAATTGGTGGACTCACTATGTGAAATTATGCAAATTAAATATCAACTTGCATCAGCATATCATCCACAAACAAATGGACTTACTGAACGATTCAACAAAACACTATGTACAACTATTGCCAAATATGTTCATCAATATCAGGACTCATAGGATACTTTTATACTATCTGTACTATTGGCATACCGTACTATACAACATAGCGTGACCAAATATGAACCATTTGAATTATTATATGGGAGATCTGCCAAGTTACCTATTGACCTGACGGAATCACATGATAATATGCAAGGCACCAATCAAAATTTGGATCAAACTTTGGAACAACATATTGAACGAATAACAATATCATTACAGGAAACAAGGAAAAATGCTCAAAATAATATCCAACAAAATCAAGAAAAACAAAAGGACAGGCATGATAAAAACTTGAAGGAAATATCTTATCAAATAGGAGATCAAGTTTTACTTTATGAATCAGCAAAGGCAAAGGTATATGGTGACAAATTTAGGAACAAATGGACTGGGCCATATTATATTCACGACATAATTACACCAGGAGCTTTTAAACTTAGGACTCAGGATGATAAAATATTACGACGAACAATTAATGTGGAGAGATTGAAACCATATTACGAATGACTTCTTTGGGAACCTCAAATTATTATTTAACATATATTTATTATTTATTTATTTATTATTTTCAAACATTTACATAGTTATTTATTTAATTAGGATTTTATAATTTCATATTTGTACTGGATAATTTCATGAATCCACACATAGCTGTAGACGACCTTGGTCCTCGAAAATGTAGGGACCCATAGCATATTAATTTCAGTCTGGTCAGCCATGTAGCGCCCAGCACAGGATGGTGTTTGAGGCTATAGCATTTATGAAATTATTTATTAATAATTCATTTTCTTTCAATAATTGTTATTATCATTATTATTATTATACTTATCTTTTCTTCAGGCTTAGCAAAAGCACAAATATTGATGATAATATTCAAGGCATTAGGATATATTACCTCTTTATAATTATTCTTTAAAATTTTCCCTTTTAAAATTTTTAATTTAATTAGTAAATTCTTTAATGTCAAAGGATCAAGCAACAAAAGGAAACAAATACTTTCCAAGGAAGGATTAAAACACTTGGAAAAGTATTATAACAAACAGGAACACTAATGGAGAAAACAAACAAAATTTGACATTGAAACAAAAGGATCCACAGAGTAACACCTTTGTTTCAAGTTATCGGCCCAATGAGCAACACAACAACTTGTCACTTATTAGTAGAAAATATTCCATTCAACGAAAACCAAAAACTTTATTAGGCTTCAAAAATAATTACAGTTTTGTAACAACAAACTTATCCATTGTTCGGATTACCAAAAGGAATACTGTTAGGATTAAGTTTGGACCATTCAGGATTAATAATCCAAGTAGGGGACCATACTGTAGTATCTAAAACCCAAGGAATGGAAGGAGGTGGTGCTGGCACAGGAATCTCATTTTCTTTCAAAATATTTTGAAGTTGGGTAACATGTGTTCGAAGGGAAAAAATTTCAGCTTGATAAGTCTTTTGTTGACATGAATGTTGACGGAGTCAGGTGGTATTCACTTCTAAAAGTGAATGAATTCTTTCTCGGTATTGGGCATCATGAGATCACATAAAAGTTTTCAATCGGGTGTTACGGACGCACACATCTTTATATTTATTCTCGAGGAAAACTAATTCAGCACAAAGCTTTTGAAGTTCTTCTCGAAGGAGAAAATCTTGATCTTATAAGGAGGTGATTTGAGCCTGATGCTCTGGACACTTACAACCAACAAGTGAACGACCTAAAAATTTAATTTTCTTCTGAAGGAGCATGATACAACCGACCAAAGGATTCTTATGGTTAATAGCGCGAATAATACAATTAACTCTAGGCATGATGAAAAGGATAAAAACAAAAAATGTCTGGAATAACAACTAATTAAATAGTGAGGAAAACCCTAAAAATTCTTACCAAGAAAAATTCAACCAATGGAAAAATTTTGATGATGGAAAAACAAAACAAAGGAAAATTCTGTCAATGTGGGAAAATATATGAATCTGAGATTATTCCAAGTCTAAATTTGGATATGGAATCATATGGGAAAATTAAACAACGGTTAAATTATTATCCGATTGGTGCTCAAATGGATTAGGAAAAGGAATAATCAATGAAAATCCAGTAAAAACCGGATATAAACAAGGATCTACGCCACAACACATGAAATTTTGGGGCAATAACACATGGTTGCTCATAATTAATTAATTGTTAATCAATTAATTAATAATAAGGAACTGTATTAATGACATAAGGCAAAAATATTTTAGTGAAACGAACTGAAATATAAAAAGGCAACTAGGAAAAACTGGAAAGGAAATTCAAGCAATTTCCAACACGAAAAACAATGACACTTAACCAACGATTTGAAACCTTGAAAAACCATATTCAAGCCATCGCTCAACTATTGGATGATGAGGAAATGGTGGAAGTTTACTTAACGATCGTAAAAATTACCAAAGGAGGATCAGGTGAAATATTTTCTATTCCAGGAAGGAACCGGTGCACTGAAGGACAAATTATCCATGACAATTTGAGGGTCTATTTACAGGATTTAATGGTTGAGGAGCCATCCAGTTTAACTCTCGATTTGGATATACCAGGCGAGGAATGGGAAACCCAACTAGCTTATGTCGTAGGATTATTATTGGCAGGAAACCAACGAACTCAAACCAATGAACAAATTTTGAAAAACTATTTCAAAATGGGATGTTTGTTGAACCGATTTGGATGGAACATGAAATCAAGGGACGAATTGAAGCAATATTTTTCCATGAAAAAATAATGAACTGTTTGGAAAGTCACACGTAGGACCTATCAACTTTTTGTGGAGCAAGGAACTTTATATCTCCATACCGTTCAACATATTACTCCTTCTATATTGGAAAATATGCATGAAGTAGATTTCATTGAAGTTCTACTGCCAAGGGCTCGCGAATTAAGGGAGGAGGAGTTAACAAACTTGATCTTGAATATGCAAGAGCACATTCTCGAAGGAGGGGAAAATGTTATCGAATAATTAAATTCGATAATATTATATTATTTTTATATTATTATTTTATTATTTTATTTTCTTTTAACAATATTTTATTATTATTTTATGAAAATATTATTGAAAATATTAATTATAGGAAGGAATAATGTAATAATTCACGAAAGT